AGACGCAAAACCTCGAGACACAGAACCTCGAGATACACAACCTCGAGCCACCAGACCTTTGGGGCTCGCAGCAGCTGTTCCTGCAGGTGCGTGTCACCCAACACGCACCCAATTAAAGGACGCACAAACCTCCGCGGGGCCGGCACCGAGGGCGCTCCCCGGGCCCGCCGGGACACCCAGCGGGCCGTGACACCCAGCGGGCCGTGACACCCAGCGGGCCGGGGGCGAGCGCTGCGGCCGCAGGGACGCGCAGGGGGGGGACGCTCAGGAGGCCGCCCCGCCCGCTCCCGCCCTTCCCCAGCCCCCCGCGGCCGCCGCTGCCGCAGCATCCCCGGCCCGGCCGCGACTCCCGCGCCGCAGCAGGGCAGCGGCCGCGCCCCGCAGGCGAACAGCCCCCGGTGAGGGGCCAGCCCCACACTCACCGCCGCCCTACCGCCTCCTCGGGCAGGGCCGCTCCGCGCCCCGATGCCGCCGGCCCCGCCCGGCCCGGCCCGCGCAGGGAGGGGCGCAGCGAGGCGGGGACACGCAGCCGCCCCTCGGCCGCCCTGACGTCAGCGCGGCCGCCCCGCCCCGCTCGCGGCGGAGCCGCCCCGCCCATGGCCGCTGAGCCCCTCAGCGTGCCCGGCGCCCGGGCAGCCCCCGCCGGCCCCCTGTGCCAGCCCGCCCGAGCGATCACCGAGCCTGCCGGTACGGCCGAGGGCAAGCGAGCGGGCCTGCGGGTGTGCCGGCCCTGCGGCAGGGAATCATCGAGTCATCGGGGCTGGAAGAGACCTTTAAGGTCGTCCAGTCCCACCGTCAGCCCAGAACTACCGCTGTGACCCCTAGAACACTAAACCACGTCACCCAGCGCCAGGTCCAGGCACCGTGCTAATAACAGCAGGGTTGTGGGTTTGATCCCCTCACGGGCCATTCATTTAGGAGCTGGACTCGATGATTTTTGTGGGTCCCTTCCAACTCAGAATATTCTGAGAAACCTCCAGGGATGGTGACGCCACCACCTCCCTGGGCAACTATTCCAGTGCCCGACCACCCAAACAGTGAAATATTTTTTTTTTAATATATAACCTTGATCTCCCCTGTCTCAGCTTAAGGCCGTTTCCTCTTGTCTCTGCAGGCACAGCAGAAGAGACCGGCCCCCACCTCACTGCAACCTCCTGTCGGTGGTTGTGAGGAGTGATGAGGTCGCCCCTGAGCCTTCTTGAGACTAAACAACCCCAGCTGCCTTAGCCCTTTCTCACAAGGTGTGTTTTTAAACCTTTCACGTGCCTTGTTGCCCTTTACTGGACTCGCTCCAGGACCTCAATGTCCTTTTAAAGTGAGGAGCCCAAAGCTGAACTCAGCACTCGAGGTGCAGCCTCAGCAATGCCGAGCACAGGGGGATGATCGGTGCCCTGGTCCTGCTGCCCACACTGCAACAGAGAGCACTCGCAGGGGAAAGGCCTCACAGATGACTCAGCTACATGGAAATCCCGATGGACTCTTGCAGTCAACCACGGGAGACCAGGCTTTCTCCATGCTGGTGCTCACAGAATGAGCTGAGACTTCAATTTCCTTGAATTTTCTGCCTGTGCTGGGAATTAGAAGGCACTGACAGAAGGTTCAGGAAGTTCCATGCTGGTGGTTACATTAGATGGATCAGGGTGGTTTCACTGAATCACTATTTAACACCCCACTGGGGCCTGTATTTCTGCACCTCCCCCAATTTGGGACCTTCGTGTTTGTGTTGTCACAGCATTTCAGCATCTGTATCGCTGTGCCTCAACTTCAGGGATTCAAAGTTTCTTTTCTTTCAAAAGTTTTTTCTCTCCAAAATTTATCTAAGTTTTTACCTGCCTGCTTCTCCAGGCCTCCCAGAAGGGAGGAAGACAAGCAGTAGCTTCAAGCTACATCTGTGCAGGAAAAAAACAACACCCTGTAATCGATAAGCATCGTTCACCACAGCCTCCTCACTAGAAACTGGGCACATGTCAGTCAGTACAGGCTCTGCAAGTGCCTCCTCATCTTTCTAGACACAGGGCATGAAGACACCAGTACATTTGCCCCATAGGCAGCAGAAAGACCTTTTAGAAAAAACAAGGAACAAGAACTGAAGCTTTTGTATGTCTTTTTGACTAAAGTTAAGTGTACCAGCCACACTAATGCATTTATTCTTAGAACAGTCTGAAGCATAATGACTCCCCTGTGGTACAGGAAGGAGAGAAAAAAAAAGGCAACCAGAGAGATTAAATCTCTTGCTCAAAGCCGAAGAGATAGCAAAGCCAGGAAATGAACTCAGATTTCCTCAGTCGGGCATCAGTGCTTTAACCACACAATCGTCCTTTCTTGCAGTCCTTCTCAGCTTCTGAGCATCAACTTCACTAGCATAGGTTTGATTTTTCTCTACTTTGTTCATCAAAATGACTTCACTGTTCCCACTGAAATTTCCTCCAACTAACTTTCTTCTCTATTTCCTTCCCAAAAGTAAAAGTAATTATATTACAGACTCACTTAGGGGGTAAAATGATATTACAGATTCACTATGAGAGTCTTAAATTTCCCACTGCCTTTCTGTAGGCACTGGCAGGTGTTTCTTCAATGCCAACACTTGAACATCAACTCACAAAGCAATTGAGCAGCTTCTATGTGCATCTCTGAGGCAGGTACCCAAAGGCACAGTGGAGGAGATCAAGGAACAAAGATCAGGGAACTGGGAACAGTTGTAACCAGCGCAAAGGAGGCACATAAACTGTGTGTGCTGACCTGGAAGTGGTGGTATAACTCATATTTTATTATCTGGAAATGATTATGAAACAGAACTCTGAAAGCGAAGTAGATACATAAAGAAGAAAACACCTAGAGATATTTTAGGACAGATTTGAGAACCTCCTCTATTTGTTTAGACATGTAACAGATTTTCACATGTTTATATAGGCTCTTCAGACTAAGATCCAGTCTTGAAGCAGAATTCATAGTTTTTGAAAATTAACTTCAAAAAAGGGAAGCGTTACATACACGACTCCAGCCTCTGACTCAGAAGATAGTGTTAACCCTCCTACTGACAGACTGCAAACTGAGATCTAGCCATGATCAAGTGCAGTATCTTTTCTCGCCGGTTTAATATTTGATGTCTTCAGCTTGAGGTCTTCACCTTGCATTGATTTTATATTGAATTGATTTAAATGGACCTTATATTACGCTGGGAGATGGACTAGAAGCTTATTATCCCCTTCACTCACTGGCATTGTGCTTCTTCCAAAACCCAGAGACAGAGCAGAGGGTAACACCAAGCACCAACCACACCAGCTGCACTGCTGGATGTGCAGTTATTGATGTTCACATGAATATTCTCCTTGGGGGTCTAGGTGGACTTTTGATTAAATATATGACAGTACATGAAGTTGGTTAGGGGTTGAAACTGTTCATTTCAAAATGCCTCATGATTCTGTAAAATTTATTCATCGACAGGTATCAAAAAATGAACTGTCAGCTGCCTTCTTAACCTTGTCTCTACCAATAATTCTTTCATTAAGGAACACATCCTTTATATTTTCCAAGTTTTATTTTGACACTAAGGAGTCACTGTCTCCAGACTTACCTATTTAGTTTGCAACTTCTTGTACTTTTTAAACTAGACAGGTAACTTCATTTTTGTACTACCTTAAAAATTATGTACTAAAATTAATATTTCAAGTTGATGAACTTGTTTGCTGAGATAATAAAGAAGGAAAACAATGGGCTAATGTCACATGCAGAAATACTTACGTGAGTGTGTTCAGATGTGTGTATATGTATTATTTACATGCATGGTGTCCACAGGTAACTAAACGTTGTAGCATTCTGCAATAAATAATTGTATAAGAATAAAATAATTAATAGGAAATTCTGCTTGGTGCAAGTTGAGGTCTTTTTAGTGGTTCCCCATCACTGCATCTTCTTTTGTTTACATATGGGAAAACACAGAGATGAGCTCAAACTCATTTGGCTGAAATACACATTCACCTTATCACATTTAAGACTAAGTCATTTATTTTTCTTAGCCTTGAAAAATAATCCAAATTCAGTACTTGAACATTTGATATCTTTTCAGGCCTTATTGATATCTACCACTTGCTAAATATTTAGGTAACATTTAAAGAGGGTACTATTTAAATGAAGAATTGTTCATTGCCAGTTGACAGCTGCTTTGTTATTTAAACAATTGGCTCATAGGCCTACCTTGGATGTGCAAAGGCAGTGTTGCTATATCTATGGGTTTGGTGAGTGACTGATGAACTCAGCCTTCTTATCCTTCTCATGCTGGGAAAAACAGGGAATTTACACCAGCCTAAACTGCTTTTATTCTTCGGTGGTGCTGCAGCAGAAGAAGCCTGGACCAGTTCAGTAAAATCTGCCACTGAAACCTTAGCCAATCTTTACACCTTGCTGCTGCTGTGCCCTTTCTTCTAAGGGCTGACCATGCATGATGTTTCAAAACACTACTTTAGTCTAAGTAATTTAGACCTACTTAGATCTAAATTATGTAAACAGAGTAGTTAAACTATTTAAGAAGTCTGGTTAAAGCTGCTTCTAAAATACAGGCATTTTTTTGCTCCGCGTCTTCAGAGGCCACACTCCAACCTTTCCAAACACAGAAATGCTTTTCTAGGCAGTGAGTAAAATCACGTTGCATATTTCTAAAATCCAAGTGCTCTCTCTTTCATTTATTTTTAAAGCAGATAATGCTTCTTGGTCTCTAACCGTTAAAACAAATTAGGGTATTATATATTTCATGTAAGTCTGATAAGGTTTCTTCTTTATGTGTCATTGCAACTTAATTTGCATTCACATAGGCTGAAGGGCCAGAGGAATACAAATACCTAACATTTCCATTATTCCGTGGGATTTTTGAGGATTCTGAAATGTAAGTAAAAGCTCATCTTTCAGCTTGATTTACAGCTGCAGAAATTATTTCCTTCTGTATAATTAGAAAATATTCTAAATCAGGCCAGATAAAAATTTTTATTGCATTTCGTTATTGAAAGGTTGGCTGATAATCTCAGAACTCAAAAAATAGCCTTTTACTAGTGACATTGCTAAGGGAATTTATCTAGTGTGTTTGTGATTTTTTTCTTAGTCTGTGAAGTCATTCAGGTGCACAACAAATAACATACTTATGTTACTTATAATGGCCTCCAAATTTAACAGAATGAGAAAAGTTGACTGGAATTCCATAAAATCTCACTAGAATTCAGTAGAAACTGTGAAAATATATTTGGGATTGTATGACTTATCTTTATGTAAACATTGTTAAAAAGGATCCTGTTTTAAATGAATGCTAATCCTAAACTGGCTAATGTGGATAATTTGTGGGTTTGCTAATTTTATTATTTAATAACAATTTAAATACTACAATCCTTAAAATGTTTAATGAAGATGAAATGAAACCTTTCCTGTTTGTATAGCCAGTGCCCTCCATTTTCAATATCATTACAGTATTTAATCCTGAAATTTGCAGAACTAGTAATCTTCTTATAATCAGCACAGACCCCAGTGGATAGTGGAGCAATAGAGCTATACACATTTATAAATAAAATGTAGAAGGAAAGAAAGCCTCTAGGAAAAGAATATCTACAGGAAGAGCATCACATTTCTGTGTTTGTTTTCATTTGACTGCTCAAAGTACAACATTCATGTTAACATTCATTCACAGGGAACACTGTCTGCATCACTCACAGGTGGAAATGAAGAGCTAAATATGATTCTTTTGAGTCTTGTTCAAAAAATATTTAGAAAGCACAGGACACCTGGATGGTGTGGTGAGCAAAGATTCCTACATGCTGTTAGCTCACAGTTAAATGTGATATACAGAGTGCAGTTGGATTCTTGGCAAACTCGGTGTTACCCTCTCTGCTACGACACCCAGTCATTTCACCAGCCCTAACAATAATTTGATTATATGATGTTCCCTCAAATCTCTTTTAAATAAAATTCCCGCATTTTGTCTGCATCTGTTTCATTGTAACACTTGATATTTTGCTTTAGAGGTTTAAGGAGTTACCTTTATAGGCTATAATTTTATTTCTTTAGGTACTGTTTTTACCAGTGTCAGATATTCTATAACATTGTGAGAGACTATATAAGAATCATAAAGTGATATCACAGAATGGTTTGGGTTGGAAAGGACCTTAAAGATCATCTCATTCCAACCTCCCTGCCGTGGACAGGGACACCTTCCACTAGACCATGTTGCTCCAAGCCCCACCCAGCCTGGCTTTGAACACTTCAGTGATGGAGCATTCTCTGGACAGCCTGTTTCAGTGCCTCAACACCCCCATAGTAAAAAATTTCTTCCTTATATCTAATCTAAACCTGTCCTCTTTCAGTATAAGAAACCTAAGACAGATATATATGTATTTTGCGTATAGCAAGGAGGCATTAATGATCACAATATGTCCTCTGATCAATTTAATTATCTACTTATCAGTGCCGATGGATAACAGAGATCAGAGGAAAGCAAACAGATCCTGCACTGTAGCTGTACTTCCCAGGGATTTTGTCCACAGCAACCTGAAATGATGAGGCTACAAATCCTCCCGGAGAGGCACAGTGACAGCTCAGTGTCTCGCCTGATAGATGCAAACCATATTCCACCTCCCTGATCTTGGCTCATCTCTCAGCCCACTCAGGAGTCCCTGCTGCCTGTGCACCACAGGACAGTCCTTGGCTGAGCAGCTGGTTTATGGAGCAGCTGGACCTTGTGCAGGATTCCAGCTTACCAGAAGCTGGCACAGGGAATACTTCCCATTTGCTCAGATGAAACGTGAATATATTTTAAGAGCAATCATACATTTTCCAAGTCTTGATTCATAGCTGAAGCAGACTGCAGGAAGGAATTGACTCAAACAAAATTATATTGTTTCCATGAATGCTACTTCAATCATGCTATTTTTTTTTAGTATGCAACTAATTGGTTTAAATTAACTTAGATATTTAAAGGAAAATACAAGCAGACTGTACCAGTAGCAAACAGCAGTTTCAAAACATAGGTCAGGACTTCAAAAATAGTTTTGTTCCATGTATGTACTTGACCCTAATCTTTCATGTCTGAACATGTCAAAGCATCAGAAGATAAAAAAATGAAAGCTGAAATTCCATTACATTTGCAGTATTAAATGGCAATGAAAAAAACAGAGCTCAAAGATACAGATTAAAAGATGCAATTGCTTTTCCTCTGGGCACGTGGCAGTAACATGTGCACTGAGAAATGAGTTGACCTTATCCAAAATTATGTATGTAACCAAGCAGTAATTAATTGAATCACAGTGTTTTCAGAGCTCCACAGGAACATCAAGGACAGTAACATTATATGCCCAAAATCACAGTAACTTGGAAAAATCATGAGATATTATCTCAAAAAATACCTTATAAGGCTTTTTCTTTTTTTTACTTACTCCATCACTCCTATTTTATTAACTCTAGTTACTCAGGAAATCAGTGTTTGTATATGCATGTGTGTACAAGTGAAAATATATTTCTATAAAATGCAACTTTTACATAAACCTTGATATACATGTATGTGTATATATATAAAAATAAACAGAATTGTTCTAGGTATTGGGAATCATCTGGAGAATGCTACTGGATAATTAGATGATTGCTAGACAGCGACCCTGGGCTGTTGGAGTTACAATTTACCAGGGTCATTAGGGATTGCTCCTCCTTGTGGAGTTGAAGTAGCCCAGCCTGGCTCAGGCTGGACAATAAGCCATCAATCTGTCTCCAGGGTCCTTCCTTAACATTGAATCTTTCTGGAAACTGCTTTCAAGGTCGAACAAAATTCAGTTGCGATGAGTGCTAAATACTTGATTTCCTGTCAAGTGGGAAAGCTGGATTTTCATAAAGAGAAAACAGTAACTTTATTATTACAAGCCAGTGCCTGCCTCTGTTATATTGACTTCTGAAGACATTATCCCAAGAGATTCTGACAGTTTCCTGAAATACTGGCACCAGAGATTCATTCACTGCTTTGTCTAGTAAGGGTTCTGCTGTGCTTTTAAACCAGGAGGTGTGGAAGGTGTTTTCCTCTGAGTTAGTAATTGCTATCTGTAGATAGCAACAAGTTGGAAACAGACTAAACTATTTTAGAAATGTGTGCAATAAATAATAATGCTTTCCGTGGTTGTCACAAAGCTCAAGGACGAATTCTAAACAGCATGACTCTGGCGTTTGAATGGCTAAAAATATGTTTTCAATCTACATTGGGAGATAGAAAATGCTGGCACACAAAAATTTACATGCAAAATCATGAGAAAAACTGCTGCTCTTTCAGTCTCACTATCAAGATAGTTATGAGAAATATTTTGTGCTCTAGATCTCTTGAAATCAAGGAAATCCTGGTGATGATGAGGATGATGATGAGGATACATGAATGTATCCTCAGAATTTGCTTTAATAGAATCACAGAAGCTGCCAAGTTGGAAGGGACCCACAAGGACCATCAAGTCCAACTCCTGGCCCTGGACAGGACCATTTCCAAGAGTCACACCACATCCCTGAGGGTATGAACCAAATACTTTTTTGAGCTCAGTCAGGCTTGGTGCTGTGACCATTGTCCTGGGGAGCCTGTTCCAGTGCCCAACCACCCTCTGGGTGAAGAACCCTTTCCTAATACCCAACCTAAACCTCCCCTGACACAACTTCAGGCCATTCCTTTGGGTTCTGTCACTGGTCACCACAGAGAAGAGATCAGTGCCTGCCACTCTTCCTCCCCTCATGAGGAAGCTGTAACTGCAGTGAGGTCTCCCCTCAGTCGCCTCCAGCTGAAGAGACCAAGTGCCCTCAGCCGCTCCTCACACGGCTTCCCCCCAAGGCCCTTTACCATCTTTCTTGCCCTCCTTTGAACACTCTCTAATGGCTTAAAATCTCATATTGCAGTGACTAAAACTGCCCCAGTATTCCACGTGAAGCCACTCCAGTGCAGAGCAGAGCAGGACAATCCCCTCCCTTGGCCGGCTGTGCTTGATGCCCCCCAGGACAGGGCTGGCCCTCCTGGCTGCCAGGGCACTGCTGACTCATATTCAACTTGCCAGCGACCAGGACCCCCAGGGTCCTTTCCGTGGCACTGCTTTCCACCATCTCATTCCCCAGTCTGTCCGTACATCCAGGGTTGCCCCATGCCAGTGCAAAAACCGCCACTTCCCCTTGTTGAACTTCACGTGGTTGGTGATTGCCCAGACCTCTGATTTGTCGAGGTCTCTCTGCAGGGCCTTTGAGGGAGTCAACAGCTCCTCCAAATTTTGTGTCATCTGTAAATGTACTCAGTATCCCTTCCGGTCCGTTTATTTGATTGCAAAGATGTTTTAGATGTCTGTTGGTTGTTTTTCTATTTATGTTATGTTTTTAAAACACAAGGCCATTCTTTTCCAAGAACAGTGCAGTACTCCGATAAAATGAATCTAAGTTGCAAGAAAAAGTGAGGGCAAATATTCTAGAGAATTAATCAGTAACATAATGCCTCAGTAATATATTAGCTGCTATTAAATCAGTGATATAAGCTGCTGGATTTGAATACAGTATCTATGGGGAACGAAGTATCTTGGTGAAAGGGGAATGTTTTAAATAATTCACTTACCAAAGTGAGAATGGTACTACCTGAACTAAAGCTTTTCCAGTGCATGCAGTGACACGCATTGTTGTATGTTTATAGGATTTAATTCCTACTAAGACTCATGATTCTGCTGCTGTGTGAGTGACATACAGTGTTACACACCTTTGCACGGAACATAATTTTCTTGTGTTCATCAGAAAGCACTTCAGGGGAAAAAGTTTCCTTTTGGAGCCAGAACTTCTAATCATAATTAGCTCAAGATGCACTGTGGTGTCCAGAGGGAAAAGGGGTTTTGAGCCATTTTTATTATAAAA